CCATCAATCAAGTATTGTCTTTGTTTCAGAATGATGTCAACGAGAAGCAGCTGACTGCACTGAAGGCTGTGATAAAGTGCATCGAAGACCATAAACTTGAGGCACAATACCCTGTGGATCCTCTCCAGAATCGGATTCACCAGCTGGAGAAAGAAAAGGCAGACAAGAAAAGAGCAACTGAAGTTGCCAAACCTCAACCCAAGAGACCTCGTGCCAATTGCGTAGGAAATGGAGCTCGAGCCACTAATGTTGCCTCTGACAAGAACTTCTATGCTAGTAGAATGACTGATAGGTATCCCCAGTACATATATGACCGACCATATGCTTACCCTGGACCAGCTGACACCCACGTTCCGTCATTCCTTGGTACTGCCTACAACTTTCCTCCTGGACATGGCAACTTCTTCGGAAATGGTTACCACTATCAGGCAACTTACCTGCACTAATCGCTAGACTTTGCTGAAGATCCTTTTAGCTGTTAGTGTTAACCCTTCTGCTTAACTAGTACTGATAGTAGAGCCTAGTTAACTTCTATTCTGATGTAAAAGCTAATACTGTGATGTTTTAATATATGCACTGCCTTTCATGCTAATACTGTGATTTTCATATTTTGCAAGCATATATTGAGAGCAGAAGGTGCATGAACCTTAAACCTATCTAGCCCTGGAACCACATCAACAAACCGATGAGATTGCTTGGGAAAACAGGACGACGTATGCACAAACAAACGTCCACGGGTTTTAATTGGTCATGACTTCATGGCATTTATAAGGATGCCATAATACGTAATCATGTCCATGCTTCTTCATCACCCTTTGTATATATGATACAGATTCCTATCATTGCACCAACAACACTTTTGGTGGCAATGAAGAAGTTCTATTGAAGACCACACCAATGGAAGAACTCAACAATATAGCAACCCTTTGCTATCCAAGAAGCAACTAGAAGTAGCAAACAGGGAGAACACAAGTAAGGTCGATGATTCTCTAGATCTGATATCTAAGAGGCAACCAGAAGTAGCAAGCATGCAGGACGTAAGTATTGAAAGATACTTGCAACTTGGGAACTAAACAATAAATAACCATACTTTAATGCTCACCATGGATCATGTTACAAAATTGGAAGATAGTACAGATCCTCTTTACTAAGGACTTCAAAAACGTCTTGAAATTATTGGAAGATATCTAGACAATCAAAAGTTCTTTTGGTCAATGAGAAAGACCGCGGTACCTCACATTCCACATGAAAATTGCTCAAGAACTACAATATATCTACCAGTATTTATATGAGAAACACCTAGTTTTCACTCATCACTATTGAGTACTTCTAGGACAACGAAAGAGAAAACAAAAGAGAAGATTTTAAGCATTTATTCACATGAAAGCGTTTAGCAGATTTATGAAGGCTTAAAGGTCTCTTCTATTATTATTGTTATTTTATATTTTAGATAAGTAGCTTAGATTATGTAGTTAATCAACAACAAATGGTCTAGATTCTAGAAGTTCTCTTTCATAATTATGGTATGTTTCAGTGAATAAAATTTTCTAGTTCTTGATTGGAACATTCAAGGCTGCCTCAGAACTTCGGCTAACTCATTTTATTTGCAGTAACCAGTTTATTTTTTTCACAGAGGTTTTTTTTAATGACCTAGTGCCTGGGCCAGCTTTTGCGTACCCCGACTGATAATTTCACGGGATACCTACCACCTCCCACCGGTAACTTTGTCCACCAAACTAGGACAAATGGAAAGAATCACCTACTATTTAATTGTCTCTGCTGGGATTTGTACCGAGACCTTATGGCTCTCAACCGCTTCATTGAGAATCTGGAACCTATTTGAGCCACAAAGAGACAATTGACACAAGTAGGCTATGTTTTAAGAATGTAACTAAAATAGGCTTAGTGTGACTTCTTTTGTCAAAATTTCAAACGACAAACGTTAAATCAGTTGACATCTAAATTTTGATATAAACAGAAGTTTTTCTTTAACTTTATAAAGTGGAATTTGTCTATTTTAGTTACATTCTAAAAATATGTCCTACTTGTGTCAAATTTGTCTCTTTATGACTCAAATAGATTCCAGACTCCTTCACTAGGCCACACTAGGTTCTTATAGATTTCCTCTCCTATGAAGCTTCTTTTCTTTTGATAAGAGTGGAGCCCATGCAATCACAAAGAAGTGGAGTCCAGGTCAGCTTGCTCGAACTCGACTATTTCATCGGGTACCTACTACCTCCCACCAGCATAGGTACCATGCAACTCTACCCACCCAGGCTTAGGAAAATGAAAAGGAACAACCTAGTTTTGTTTCTTGAAGCATTCATATTTCTATCTATTTGCTCTTTGTTCAAGCCTATAATTTGAACACCTCCAAAATCTTTTGAACCTATTCCACAAACTACACAAAATTCCCCACCGCACCCACTCGTTTACACGGCCACGCTGAATAAAAGAAATGATGGTGCGTCAGCCACTTTTCAGCAAAATTTTGTTCACGGCTTGGAGCACAATCTGGGTAGTCCATGCGCTAGCTGACACAATGTCCCAAGTTATCTCTTTGGTGGTCCCTATTGGGCAATTTCAAAGTGAGCATACCATTTTGAACACGAGTTTAGACCCTCGTAGCCCAAATCAAAAAGTATCTTAATCTCAAGTTTTGTCACTTCAATCTTCAGGCGTTTACCACAGATCTTGTCATTGAGCTTTTAGTAAATGATTATCTAAAAGTGTAACCTTGAAGTCTTTGCTCCTGAGATCGAATTTTCTGCTTCAGCCTTATTGCTATTCAGCCTAAGTTCGCCTTACACTTTTGACTTTTTGGTCTAGTTTCTCGCCCAATTAGCAAGTCTATAGACTCCCAGTGCTTGTGAAGCCAAGATGCTAGATATATACATCTGTTTTTTTTTTTTGATAAGGTACCCCAAGTTTATAATCTAGTTGCAACATGAAATATGACTAATTAAAAAAGAAGGCTAGACAGTAGACACATAGTAGAGATAATACGGACCTAAGTAGTCAGAAGAAATTCAACTGTAAGAAACAAATATCAAAAGTTGAAGTGAATGCTCATAACCTGAAAAAGGACAAGTATGTAAGAAATGGTGAAAGGTGCACCTAACCAATTCTGATAGTCAATTCAGTAGATTATCAGTTGATCGCGTGAGTTTCTCATGATACATTGGTCTTGAGCATTGGGCTGGCCATGGTCTGGACCAGTTGGGTCACTCATTGGCTCAGTAGGAGCACTATATGGGTCATTTGTTGGCTCTTGTAACCTACATAATTTGCGACCTTCTGAATGCCAGATGATTCACACAAGTACAAAAGGAGCACTAGGTCACATTTCTAAAGACCCACTATAGAAGCACTCTATCTGAGACTGTCTCGCTCCTAAGTCCTGACCTCCCAAAAATTAATGTTGAATCTGTATTTGATTTTGCTCAAGTAACCCCATCTACAGTCCTCCGCAAGATTTTGTTTTAGAACCTCCACTCTCCAAATCAAGGATAAACATATTTGTCTCATGTGGCATAGGACATATTTCTACTTAACAAAATAGCATTTGAATTGCTGGCAGAGTGCAGCTGCTAAAAAGTATACTTTTCTCTATTCGAACCTATTGGTCTCAAATCTTTCTTCTGCCTAAGAAAGTCATGGAGCAAATAGTAAGGATCTATAGAACCCTCTTTTGCCCAGATAATATAGAAGTTCCCAAAAAAGCATTGATTGCCTGGGATAGACTATGTTTACCGGTGAGTGCAACTATGCTTGCCTATGAGTTCAGGTGGATTAAATCTACTCAATATTGGGCACTGGAAAAAGGCAGCTGTGTGCAAATTTCGCTGGAACTATGCAATAAGGAGAACAAACTGTGGTTTAGATAGGTTCACCGACATTAGATAAAAGATGGAGTGATGGACCAGTGTGTGGAACTGTTGCTAACCAAGCTTCCTGGATAATCAAGAAGGTGTTGAAAGCAACAACCTACATGGAAGCTACTGGTTCAAATGACACTGCAGAACTGAAGGCCAAGGTATTTTCTGTAAGGATAAATGTTCCTAAAATTCATGGGGTCATTGCCAAGAGTAAGTTGGAGAAAACTAATCTGTAGGAATCCTGCCCTTCCTAAATGGATTTATGGTGTATCTAGTAGCTAATGTTAAGCTGTATACTAAATATAGGCTGATTAAATGGAGAGTAAATGTGGATCCTATCTGTCATCTGCATAAAGGAGCTGATGAAACACTGGACCACTTAATTCTTCAAGTGTCTCATAGCTGCAGATATCTGGTGTAAGCTACTAAGCTGGAAAACATGGATGGAAGTATAGTACAAGACAAACAGAGCCACATCAATTCTAATATTGAATGACACCATCTACATGCATATATTAGGTCTGGCATGAGAGGAGCCAAGCAGTGTTGCAAGGGAAAAGATGAACCGTTGCTGCAATAATTAAACATGTAACCCAAGATGTCTATATCCGAGCTTGTATGACGCCAAAGCTAGTTAATATCCTCTATCCCTTAAATTTCTATCATAGCTAGTTTAAATGGGTGTTGATGAGTAGTGGAGATATAGAGGGCACTGGGACAATGTCCAGTATCCCTACCTGTCCATTTTTTCATTTGTATTGAGCGGTATTTATTCTTACTTGGTAATAAAATTCCTAATTACCAACAAAAAAAATAGCATCAGAATATAATACACAGACATCCAGTAGCAGATACCGCAGTATGCCGAATGTCTCCACCTTAGGCAACAATTGTATATGGATTGTAATTCAAAAGGCTACCATATACCCAATATTTGTGAGATAAGTAAGTATAGCAATACTATAACATGAAATGGGAAATCATTCGTTTCAAAATTTAAACAAACAAAGTTGTGAACTTCAGACATCATATTGCCACTTAGTTCGAATTGGGAACATTCCAGTGGCTAAAACATACTGAATAAAAAAAAAAAAACATTATCCAGAACCAAAAGTTCCCATATATTATTATTATCTCAAAACACTAAAATTCCAATTCAAAAACTTCAACAAATTTTCATTACACCTTACGGGATATCCCAAGGCTTGGGTTCAGGAAGTGCCACAACCATACCTTGAAGCTCCTGGGAAAGAACCACCTGACATCCAAGCCTAGAGTGCTTGTTCAAAACCCTAGCTCTAGAATTCCTCTTCAAAACATACTTCTCATCATACGAAGCTGGTGGAAGCTTCTCGAGCCATTCCTGAGCAATGTGTACCTCACATTCAGCTGAACAAGCATCGATATCTTCAAGCCGATGAGAATCCGGGTCAATTAACCCCTGATTCGTTAGGGCTTTGAGCAGTGTTTGACCCGAGAGTCCGATAACTTCGCGTTTGTTCCCATCCGGATCGACGGCGGATAGCTTGACAATCCGATCGGCGACCTTGGCGGAAGCCGACGGCGACGACGATGAAGCGGAAGATCGAGTGATTGAGGATCCGAAGGAAGATGATAGAGAAGCGTTTCGGGCGATTCGGGAAGCGAATCTCCGTAGATAAGCGATCGCCATTTTTTGAACAAAAATTTGAGAATTGAGGATTTGTTAGTATTGTGAAGGCTCTTTTGAATGGATTTTTTTTATTATTTTTTTTTGGTTTATAAATTGGCTAATTTTAATATATTTTATTAACTTTCATGAATGATAAAGAGAGACATATTGAAGGAAAAAAGTATGGAGAATAGCAAATATTTATCCTATAGTAGGTATTATAGCTATAGTTTAAGAAAATTGTAATTTGTGATTATAGTTTTCCTAATTTTTATTATTCGTCTGATTTGTATAATTCGTTTAATTTGTATAATTTGTATAAATTCAAAATTGATATAATTCGATTGTTGATTGTATAAATTCAGAATTTGTATATGTTTATCCTAGATATTTGTATACGATTTATGAAAAAATCATAATAAATTACTTTGTTTGTATATTGGCAAGTGAAATATACAAACATAGTTCTGAAAAATTCTTAAATATATAAATATAGAATTTGTATATGTTTATCCTGTAGTTTTACAAGCGAAATATACAAATCGCAGCTACATAGCAAACAAAATTATAGCTATAGAGCGCAATTATCAAAACTATATCCGAAATTTTCTCTATCAAAAATAGATTTATGTATTACAAAAACTTGAAAATTGTTTACCTTCTTTCTTGAAACAAATTTCACCATATAGTAAGAAGGTTTTCCCTACATTGAGGTCCAGTTGAATGAAGTTCAAAGTTGGGCTTTTTAGAAGGCTCACAGACTGGGCCATTAAAAATCTTATTTTGGGCTTTTTTACAAACAATTTCTGACATAGATTGGGAGTGTAGGTACAAAGTTCAAAGTGCACAAATATCGATTTTGGAGCCCCGACTAATTTTTGGATTGCGTACTACATAGTTTATTTGGGGGTGACACTCACAAGAAGATTTTTTTCATACCTAATAAGACTCAAATTTGAGACATTTGATAAAGGGTGAAGCAGTCCTACTAGTCCACCATTGCATCATAATCTATGTTGATTATATTCAAAAGTAACCCAAACAAACAAGAGATTATTAAAAAAAATAAAAATGTAATTTTTTTTTGTAAACTCTGATATTGAAAGGTTAATCAAAAGCGGCCTTATTTTCCCTTTTTAAAAAAAATAAATATTATTTATATATTGATTAAAGACAAAGTGTGCAAATATGTCAAACTAATCTACTTCTCTTGGCTAGTTTTTATATATTTTCAAATACAAATCGATTAGCTGAGAAAAAAATAACCGTGTTTGTTTCTCCCTGCTTCGAGTGTTTGGTATTTGTATTGATACTGATTAATTTGCTTCTTGTAAGGTTCATTGGGAGACACTCTCTTTAATAGTAGGATTTTTACACGAAAGAATTATCTTAATAGAAGCGGAACAATTCTATCCATTTTATCACAACTCTTGTTGGTAAATTTGTTTTAGAGACTACTTGCAGCTATTCTTTTTTTGCTCTTTTTTCTAAGAAAGAAAAGTAATACTACAATGCTCAATAATGCACGAAATATAAATATTTCTTTAATCATTGTATTCTAGTTGAGAAATATATATATATATATTTTATTTTATTTTTATTTTTATTTTTTATTTTTTTTATTATTATTATTTTTATTTTTTATTTTATTTTTTTAACCGATCGATTAAATATGTAACTTGCCTATTTTAATTTCATCAACCCTAATAAATGTTTCAATGCACATAAATATCTACAACTACATATTAAAAGAATTGCATAAATAATACTTATATAGTTTTACAACTTTTAATAGCTATGAACTGTGATTGTGTATTGAGAAGGATAATACTCACTCTGCTCTATGTAATCGGACACCGAATAGAAAATAATTTTTTTTTAGAAAAAACAACAATTCGGAATTGAAACTTTTAATTTTATCTTGAATGAGAAGTTTTTAACGTTTGTATATGTTATGTATATTTAAAATCACAAGTTCTAAATTTTTTTATTACATTATTATTTTCTATCAAATAAGTTTATATAAATTGAAACGGAGAAAATACGCGTAATATTTTTGACTCCAACACCTTCACCTACTTCAGGTATGTGATTATATTTACACATTTATGTAGCCTATAAATAGGGAAAAAATAGTTGAACATTAGTACATTATTCATAACTGCAAAATTGATTTGTCCCAACAAAAAAAATGATTTATAAGTTTTTATTATTTTATATTCAAAGAAAGCAGATGTAGCCTTTTGCAGGCTAAATAAATGTAAAAATATTAAAATTTAATATTATATTTGAACTTGTATTTAGCTGTACGATTAGTTTAGTGCTTTAAAATTTTGAAAATTGAATCTATTAAATTTAAACTGTAAATTTGCTTTTGAAGATATTGCAATGCAACATGCTAAATAACATTGTTATTTTATATAGAGAGATGTCAAAATTAGTTAATGAAAACATGAACATGCGTACATACTCATAATAATTATAAATTCGGATCATTTTTTGTTGTATTATATTTATTTTTTGACTCGAAAAATAAATCTCTTGAATGGTGATTGATTTGCATAAATGCATGTAGACAAGAGCTTGTGAAATCACACATCAATTTGTAAATTTTCATTTTTATTATTAATGATGATTGAAGTCGTATGATTGATACGTGTATGTATTATTCTCTTCTTTGTTTATATTTCGTATGCTCGCTATATGATATTTTTCAATTAGATTTTTATATGAAATTTTAGCTATCGTAATTCCATTTGGCTCATATTGTATGACTTTGTGGAACTAATTACTAACCAAGTTTCAAATTTTATAATTGATTTTGCGTCAAAAAATAAATTTTAAATATTGAAACTCGCTCTTTAATTGGTACTTATTTCTTATGCTATAAGTAAATCTCCTTAATGAAGAGTGAAATTCAACATTGCAACTCAAAATTGTCTTTAGTAGGATGACTTTCATAAATGATTTTGTAATTATAATTTTTTTTAATAAAATATCATAATTATATTTTTTTTAATAAAATATCATAATTATATTTTTTTTAATAATTAAAAAAACACAAAAATCAAGAGAATTTTTCGATAAGTAATCATTTTTACTGTACATCTTTAACTCATTTTTATTTTTATTTTTATATTATAAATACATATTCAATTAAAATTAAAAGAGGACTAACTCATACGTAATAATAGAACGACATTATTTTGCAAAATAATTTGCGTACAAAACTTCTTGTCTTCAAAATGATCATGATTCATGATATTGACTAATTGATTTTGTGGTTCATTATACCTTTTTATTATTATTTTTTATGTGAAATTTTCAAAAAAGATAAATATTTTTAATCATAAAAAAATCTTCTTAAAAAATTCCTAATATATTAACAACCCCTTGAATTTGTTAGTAATTTTATTTAGTTATTCAAGTTACAATTTATTTCAACTGAGCATCTAAATACATAATATATTATTTCTATTAGACAGTTGTTACTCAAATCTAGAAAAAAAATTATGCTTTCAATTGTCTATTACGTAGACAAGTTAATTGCTTAAAATATGTCACCTTTTTTAATTACAGTGTTGTTCTCAAATAAGTCACCAAATCTTAGTCTTGTTCCGATTAAGACTAATATGTATAACTAATGTAGATAACATATAGTATGAAGTTAACTTAACTACCTAATAGACGCTTGAGAACACTCATATCTTCTTTTTCAAATTTTGAATTAAAAGAGTCTAATAGAATTATTTTATCCTGTGTTCATGCTAAATTGGGACAAGTGTTATATCGAGTGTCTAAATAAAATTTCTAACAAGTTTAAGTGTTCTGATGCATTAATACTTTGTTTTGCTTAATATATTTCATTTAAACACTCAAATTAAGTCATATTTCAATAGAATACATCAACTCATGTTAAAGTGTTTCAACTAGATACTTTCAGTCTAAATTTTCATTTATTTTTTTTACTTTTGTCCTTGTTCATCTATTATGTCAGTTCCTCTAATCATATGGATTAACCTTAATAAGTTGTTAAACCTTATATACTTTTTACTTGAGATTAATGCCTATAACTATATAAATAATATATTTCATATAATTAACTTAACTACTGTATCTAATAAATGAATAAACACACACCGAAAAAAAATATTATTTTGTATTTATGCCAAACTATATGTGGTGTGGTATAATAGAGGGAAACAAAATAACATGACAAGCATTATTCCAGCTTTACATTTCCCCACCCCTCACATGCCTTCATTTTTAGATTCTTACTTAGCATTTTGCGTCCCACCTTTTTTCTGCTGCGGCGCTGCCACGTTTTTCAACAGTTCAAATCGATAAATTTCGAATTTTGAGATATAATATAATTTTTAAAATACTTTATTCGATGACAAATATTCATATTGAATTCTAATTAAATTTGAATTTAAGATTCTAATCATCTCAAATTTCAAAAATTACCTAGATCAACTTTTGGCTGAATTTTCACTTTCATTTATTTATTAAAAAAATTAAGTAAAATATATGTGCAAATATAATATAATCTGTTATAATTTATTTCTTAATACGACAAAAAATTGTTTTTAAAATTTTTAACTAAATCTATGATCAAATGCTGGCTAATAAAACACAATTTGAGACATAATAGGAAAGTGGACAAATAATTTTTCAGTTTAGATCCAAAGAATTTAGTGAATGAGTGTAGCTATCTATCAATTCACAAAATATTAAAATATTATTAGTACTTAACATTAAGAATTAAGTGACAGTTCATCATATTGGCTCCAGCCTGGAAAAAAATAAAACAGAAAAACAATAATACTTTATTGGATTTGACAAATTAATTAAAGATGTTAGGTAATTGTCTCTCATAATGACAAGAATGTCTCTTACAAGTTTTAATTTTGTTCTTCTATTGCATGCTTTATGTTTGATTAATTAAGGCGCCATATTAGGGGGAAAAATGAATTTTTTAAAAACTATATATTTTTTAAAAACTATACATTTTACATTTTTTAAAAATATTTATTATTTTTTATTTT